ACACAAAGAAAGTATTTTATAATTACTTTATTATGAAATATTAAGTAAACAAAATAGTGAAAAATTATAAAATTCTTGTCTTGTCTGCACCTACGGCACACCAGGCAACATCTTGCGGCACACTAGTGTGCCGCGGAACAGCGGTTGAAAAACGCTGGTGTAAGGAGCCTCTGGTACAACTTCAAGCATACCAACAGCCAAATTATGGGGGTGCCAGAAGAAGAAAGAAAGAAAGATACTGAAAACCTATTTGAAGAAATAATGACAGAAAACTTCCCCTACCTGGTCCAGGTAGCACAGAGAACCCCAAACAAGAGGAATCCAAAGAGGACCACACATCATAATTAAAATGCCAAGGGCAAAAGACAAAGAGGGAATCTTAAAAGCAGCAAGAGAAAAACAGTTACCTACAAGGGAGTACCCATACAACTGTCAGCTGATTTCTCAACAGAAACCATGCAGGCCAGAAGGGGGATGGCAAGAAATATACAAAGTGATGAATAGCAAGAACCTACAACCAAGATTACTTTACCCAGCAAAGCTATCATTTAGAATTTAAGGTCAGATAAAGAGCTTCACAGACAAGAAAAAGCTAAAGGAGTTCATCACCACCAAACCAGGATTTACATGAAATGCTGAAGAGTATTCTCTAAGAAGAGGAAGAAAAAAAAAGGTAAAGATAAAAAATTATGAACAACAAAATAACAATAAATATATATCTATCAACAAGTAAACCTAAAAATCAAATGAATAAAAAACCTGATGAACAGAACAGAACAGACTGATGAATGTAATAGAATCATGGGCATGGAAAGGGAGCAGACTGAATTCTCGGGGGAAAGGGGGTGTGGGGGGTGTGGGAAGAGACTGGACAAAGAGCTTACACCTATAGACAAGGTCAGCAGGGGGTGGGGGGGGGCCTGGAGTGAAGTGGGAACCAGGTGGAAGGGAGCTATGGGGGGAAAAAAGAGGAACATCTGTAATCTGAACAATAAAGATTTAAAAAATAATAATACCCAGGAGAAGTAGCTAAATAAATAAATGGAAAAGACTTGAGAAAGAGATTTATTTTTGTGAGTATTGCAGGCTGTGATATTAGATCTGGGCAGCTCTGTGTTGGCCAGATATAGGGTGGTGTCATGTTTATAGCTTCAGATCCTTCCAACAGAGCCATCTTTGTATTTATTAAGAGTGTGGAATGCAGGGTGGGACAATAAAACCACAAATTCATCACAGCAAATCTCAACAGGGGAAAATACATGTGTAAGAAGCATCAGGAGAAGTCCATTTAGCAACAGGAAGCTAATTGCTTCATTTTTATTTCACAGCAAAATCAAAACCAGGTGGCTGGCTGGCAGCCCACACGTGAAGATGCTTCTTAAGAGTTCCTCAGTCATGGCCATGGAGGCTGTCAGATGAGGTTAGAAGGCTGCAACAGCCATCTGGTGGCCGATCGTATTGTTGAACGTCATGGAGCTTTCAAGTTAGATCATCTCCTGGTGGTCAGCACATCTTTTATCAAGAATCAATAGAGCTGCAAAAAATAAAAATAAAAAATCAATAAAGCCGCTAGTACTAGCAAGGTAGATAAGACACACACATCTCATTAACTCCTGTTAAGGGTGATACTCCATTCTTTATAAAAGTAGAACTCATCAAGTAGTGTTTCTTCAGGGTCGCCCAGGGAGCTTTTAGAAAAACAACATGCTGAGTCTCTTTCCCAGAGTTTCTGATGTAGTAGATCAGGGCAGTGGCCTGAGAACCTGCATTCCCAGGCGCCCAGGGAAGTTGCTGCTCTGGTTCACTATTACCAAGGGCACCATTTATTGTGTTAGCTATAAATAAAACAAGAGGAGAGCTATAACATAATATATTTTTCTCCCTCCAGGCTTGACTTAAAATTTCCGAGTTTTTACTTTTGACAAAGTTATAGGGCAGAGTTGCCTGGATTAATATTTTCATGATTCCTCTTGATTATCGTTTCTAGCTGAAACCTCTATGCCCCTTCTCTCACCTGGAGAAGTACAAATAAATTAATCATTCTGTTTAGAATGACACATGACTTGGTCAGAAAACAAATTCATATTCAATGTAGGGTGACCAAACTTTCAGGCTAGTTTATAAGAGAGAGAGAGAGAGAGAGAGAGAGAGAGAGAGAGAGAGAGAGAGAGAGAGAGAGAGAGAGAGAGAGAGAGAGAGAGAGAGAGAGAGAGGGAGGAAATGCAGACCTATTGTGTTTTCACACTAACAAGCTTTTAATAGGAAGTGAGGTTTCTTTCTCTTCACTTCCGTTCCTGGAGAACTACATTGACCTACACCTGGCACCTGTGTAATGAACATCTTTAAGATATTGCAATGACAGAAAGGTAGAGAGCAGAGGTGTGCTGCAGAGACATGGAGAGGTTAAAAGAGTTGCTTTATAATATCTCTATATTTTTAATTAAATAATAAAAACAAGTTTTGCATGTATAACTTCAGTATAATTGACTAAAATAGACGCCAGTTAGGTATATCAGAAGAAAGAAAAACATTTTGTAATATGAATCTTAAAAAAAGAGGAACATTTAATTAATCAGTATAGGCAAAACATAGATGTGATGGTTTGGAAGAAGTATTGTGTTTTTTAGTTTGGTGGTTTAACAAAAATCTCATCAATGGCCACAATAATTTCCTTCTTCCATTTCATTTTTCCCTTCTTCTCTCCTTTCTTCTCATCCTTTCTCTTCTCTTCCTTCTTATTACTCACTAGATTTTATTGGGCCCTAATGGGTGTAAACAGTATTCAAGATCATAAGGGTAAAAGATGACTCAAAAGTAGATTCTGTCCTTCAGGAAGCACAGGTTGACAATTGCACCATGTTTAGATTCACTTAAGCTCACACTATAGTTATTTTACTCCAGATCCTTAATATGGGTTTGTATTATGATAGATTATTTGAGGAATGACACAGTGGCTTTCCACATCCATTATGTTTTGCTTGCCTTGGGTATTCCCTCATATCACCTTGGTGTTTCTCTAGTAGCCTCTGTCCTTTATTTCTATTTTCTATTTTCTCTTAGGTTTAAATACGTGCAGCTTATGGTGAATGGAGCAGAGTGTTCAACACTCAAGGAAACTGGCTTTCAGGAATGTCTACCCTTTTAGCTGTTGACCACAGCATGTGCCCCAAATAAAGGCAGGATGCTTGTCAATGGAAGCAGCTATGACATTCATACAGCTAGGGCTAATACTGCATGATATTGGTTCATTTAGTGGTTTAATGTATGGCCACCAAATTAAATGATTTGCATTGTGGGCATGTTTGTTGATCACTTTATTGATCTGCAAGTCTTGAAGAGCAAAGCATGATCATAGCTTGCGTGAGTCTTTTGAGTCACGTTGAGACTTTGGCAGCACTAATGGTGACAAAAGGAACTGGTGAGTGAGCAGGAGTGGGGTGGGGCAGCCTTGGCTCCTGACTGTTGCATTGACCAACACAGAAAGGAAACCCAATTTACAGTTGTTATATAAAAAAAGTGAGATATGACCAACTCCAGCATCTATTGCCTAGGTGAACCTGTTAAGGCAGAATCTATAATAATAAAAGTGTAATATGCAAATTGACCAAATGACCATCCTGATGTCCTTCCAGATGACCTTCCAGATGAAGCCAGGGCTGCAGCCTCAGGATCCAGGCAGCCGCTGTGACTGTGAGAAAGGGGTCGAGGCAGCTGCAGCTGCAAAAGCCTACTCTTGCATGAATTTCATGCATCAGGTCTCTAGTTTACAATAAACTGGTAAGTGATAGCAGCATAGTTCCATAGAATAGCAAAAATAGCAGAGGCTTCCAGCCATCAGCAAAACATACTAAAGATGCAACACTCCAGGGAAGGAGGCTGGAGCAAGAGATAGGCAGGATGGCAGGCTCTGCTCTTATCTGTTCTTTCCCCATCCCCGCCAAGCCAGCTCGCATTGGGGACAGCGTTCTCATCCCTTGAGGGAGTGGAAATACAAAGCACTGGGGCAAGATAAGCAGAGGGTTAGGGGAATCTGTGATTCTGTGAACATGTAGGTAGCCAAGGTTCACTTCTTGGAAGAGCCAAGCTTATCTCTGAGCAAGTCTGGATAGAGTCCAGGGTTAATTAGGAACTGATGGTGAAGATGGACTATCTTCATTTTTCCAGCTGAACCAAGCTTGGCAAAGTAGGAATGAAGATGCTGGGTAGATTCACACAAACTCTTTGGTAAAGTGTAATCAATTTTAGCTCAAAAACACCATTGGCCTGCTACTCTGTGCTCCTGGCTGACAGGTTCTCCGGCATCATTGGAAGAGATTTTTACTTTGTTTTGGCATTTTTAAGGCCAGCATCACAAATGCTGTTTGTGTCTGGTGGCAGCAGTGTGAAGCCCGTGGGATTGCCCACTTGTTTACAGACGGTGTCTGAGCGCTCTGGGCTGGAAATCAGAAAGAAATATATGCTTGTGTGGATGATCACGCTTGTCTACAGGTGATGCTTTCACAGGGATTTGATAGCTAACTCAAGGAAGGAAACACAGAATGATATAACTGGGAGGACCTCTGAGAAATCATTTGGCCTTGCCTCCTGTGGAAAGCCCAGGAAAGAGAAAACAAGGAAAAGGAAAACAACAACCTGGGTTTTCTCCTGTCTTGCTGACACACTGTATAATTCCAGTGCTTCCTCCCATGAGAGCAGAAGAAATTGGATCAGGATGCCAGTTGGGGTTTTTCTCTGTCCTCCATCATTCGAGCTTTCACAGTAGGATGTTCAAATATGAGCCCCAGTCTGTAAGGTAAGAGTTGAAATTCAGCCTCACAATAATGAGAAATGAAATCAGGTTGAATCAATGAGTGTCACATTGTTATTAAATAGAAATTAAAACTTATAAAGGTGAATGAGTTCAGCAAATATTTAAGCTCCCATTAGGGTAGTTCTCAAATATCAAACAGAAGAATCACCTGAGAGGCTTCTTTAAAATGGTTCCAGAAGTGCTGAACATGATACAATATACAGATGAGGTATTATAGAATTGTACACCTGAAACCTATATAATTTTATTAACTGATGTTACCTCAGTAAATTCAAAAGAAAGTAAATTCATTCTAGGACTTGACCCTCAGAATTTCTAATTCATTTGGGTTAGGAATAAGACTCAGGAATTTATATTTTTAACTATCACACCCCCCCCCCCCCAATTTCAGTGATGCTAATACTAGTATGCTACAAAGTGTGCTCTAAGGAGCACCAATAGGAAAAAGGGACCAATATTTTGTGAGCAGTTACTATAAGTAGACTATAAGCTTCCTACCAACAGGAACTCTGCTTTTTTATTTACCACCAAAGCAGTCTCATGATTTAAATACCATGTATATGCTCACAACTCCAGATCTGTATCTTAAGCCCAGACAACTTCCAACTCCAGAGTCATATGCCCACTCAATATCTCCATTCAGATGTCTAGTCAACATCTGAAGCCTAGCATGTTGACACTGAACTTCTGATCATTTCCCAAACCTGCTCTACATTCAGTATTTCCATCTCAACTGATGGGAAACACATTCCTCCAATTGTTCAAATGAGAAACCTTGGGGTTGTTTTTGACTCCTTTCTTTCATAACCTTCATCCAAACTGTTAGATTTCCTATTACTCTTATCTTTAAACTCTACCCAGATTCTGTCACTTCCGCTTTTACCTCCCTGATTCAAAACCGTATCTAATCTCTCCTGTGTTATAGCCAATTGCCTCCTAAGTGATTTCCATGCTTTTACACAAACATCTAATCCTTTTATCATTCACATTGAATTTTATGGATTTTTATGATTGATTTATAAGTTATTTATTTTATATGCAGGTCTCTTATCAGATACATGATTTGCAAATATTTTCTCCCATTTTCTGAGTTGCCTTTTTGAATTTTGGATGGTACCTTTTAAAGCATAAATGTTTTAATTACAAGGAAATCTAATTTACCTATTTTCTTTTTTTGTTAGTTTGTGCTTTTGGTGTCATATTTTAAAAAGCATTGTATAATTTCAGTTCATGAAGATTACCCCTATGTTTTCTAATCAGAGGTTTATGCCTTTCACATAGGTTGATGATGCATTCTGAGTGGTGTAAGAAGGAGTCCAAACATCATTCTTTTGTATGTAGATATATAGTTGTCCTAGTACCAGTTGTTGAAAAGATGATTCTCTCTTGAATTGAGTTTTCTTGGTAACTGTTTTTGAAAAATTAATTGATTGACAATGTAAGGGTTAACTTCTGAAGTCTCAATTCTATTCCATTCTCCTGTCTACTAGTGTTCTCCTGCAAGTACCAGACTGTCTTGATTATTGTTACTTTGTAATGAGTTTTTAAATCAAGAAATGTGAGTCCTGCCCTAGCCAGTTTTGCTCAGTGGATAGAGCATTGGCCTGCAGACTGAAGAGTCCCAGGTTCAATTCCGGTCTAGAGAATGTACCTTGGTTAGAGGCACATCTCTAGTGGGAGTGTTCAGGAGGCAGCTGATAGATATTTCTCTCTCATCGATGTTTCTGGCTCTCTATCCAGCTTTCTTCCTCTGTAAAAAATCAATAACATATATTAAAAAAAAGAAAAAAGAAAAAAAGAAAAGAAATGTGACTCCTCCAACTGTTTGTCAAGATTGTTTTGGGTATTCAGGGTCTCTTGAATTCCATATAAATTTAGTATCAACTTTTTCATTTCTGAAAAATAAGGTCATTAAAATTTTGATAATGTTACATCAAACCTATGGATCAATTGGGGAATAATGCTAGCCTAACAATAATAAATTCTAATAACAATACTAACCCATGAATGTGAGATTTCTTTCCTTCTTTGTTTTTTTCTTTCAGCAATGTTTTGTAGTTTATTGTTCTCAAGTTTTTATTGTCCTTAACTAAATTTATTCCTGTGTATTGTATTATTTTTTTATGCTATTTTAAAATGAAATATTCATTTTTTATTATTTCTAGTGTATAGAAGAACAACGATTTTATATATTGATCTGTGACCTGTATTCATGCTGAATATATTTACCAGTTCTAATAGCTTTTTAAATGAGATTACTTAAATTTTTCTACATATAAGATCATGTCATCTGCAGATAGTGTTTACTGATTGTTTTCCGATTTGTAACATCTTATTTTTTTTTCTTGTCTAACTGCCCTAGTTAGAACTCCTAGTACAAGGTTAAAGAGTAGAGATGAGTGGACATTCTTATATTTTTCCTGATCTTAAAGGGAGAGCATCCAGCTTTTCACAATTAGAATGATGTTAATTGTTGGTTTTTATCATATTAAAGAAGTAACCATCTATTCCTAGTTTGTTGAGGGTTTTTAATAATAGAAGGGTATTGATTTTGTCAAATGTTTTTTCTGTATCTACGGCTTTCATTATGTCTATCATGAAAAATTGATGATAATATTCACTTCAGAATTTCTAAACCCTTTAAGGTCCAAAGGACCACTTTCATATGCCCATAATAACAATTTCTGACAGGATTTCAGGGTGATGGCTGACTCTCTGATTGTGTATACCATGTCTATAGTGACTCCCCCTGATTCTTGTCTCTTAGTTTATAAATACAGGTTGTTTCCCAAAGGTAAAGACATAAGAATAATATTATGAATGATAGGAGGGGGATATGGTCATCAACCTAATTAAAATGAAGGCAAGTAGTTTATTAGGATCTTACTCCAAGTGCAAACAAATAAAGCAAATTTCATTTTTATGCATACTCTGAGGACATAATCAACTTTATAGAGTGAAATGTAATATCTTCCCAATCTCATAACCATACATAATCCCCTAGCCAACAACAAACACAAGCCTACCTTTTTTTCACTGTGAAAGAAGATGAGAAATATAAGAATGTAAAGTAAAAGAACATAAATATATCTACAGGAAAGGATTAATTATGAATAAAGTCAATTCTTTAAAAAAAAAAAAAGTCTGGTTTAAACCTTCTCCATTCTCCGTCATCTATGCATGTTATTTTTCAAAAAATGAGATAATCATCTTTTAATTCCAAAAGTATGTTTTGTGAAATCTACAAATAATTGTTACCATGGAGTTCTCAGTATCCCATAGTAAACTAATATGTTCTTGGGGCTAATGCTATTTTGGCATTTAATGTGCTTGTTACTTCAATTGAGAAAGTTGGGAGGGGAAAAAACTGCCTCCATTCCCAGTTATTCCCTTTTAAACACATTGGTGTTCCTATTTATTTCACCAACGTGTGTTCAAAGCAAAGCTCATAGATGAGGAAAAAAATTAAGAAATGGTTTGTTTTTCAGAACCTTTATTGAGATGTATGCTATGCAAATCTGACTATGGTAAAAATAAAGTAGACATATAACTAAAAAGATGAGTAGTAACTTAAAAGAACTTTCCATTGTATAATTTGTTGTTGAACAGCTCAAGACAAAAACAGTTCAACAGAACATACTGTTATTAAATTGCCTCTAACACCTTTCATTTGAAGATTTTAAATCATGTTACAAATTTATCTATCCCACAAATAATCACAGGTGGGAGGATGAAAAAGAGAAAAATACATGCAGATCCTGGACATTTGCCTTTCTTCAAAAATATTATCATACTTGAAAGGATTGTTTTTAAGGTTAGATAAATTTAACGTGTATAAATCAGTACGAAACATGGCAAGTACTTAGTTAGTTCTTTTTCTATTCTAACAACCCACTGTTGAGTCTTCATGCCTAGTGTCCCAAATCCCTTTTAAAGGAAACAGCTTTGCCAGAGCATAAATACTTACCTCAGTGCCTGACTAGAGAGTTGGGAGTCTTTAGCTATATTCTAAAAAGACAGAGATATGCAGGAAAAGCAGACCACATTCCTGAGAATCATGTGAACAGCAGAGCCCTTCCGTTTACACACTACAGCAGAAATGAGAAGTATCTTACCAAGTCCATTTAGTTGATGCAGGTAATTTTCCCATCAGCTGGATCTTTCCTTGCTATGCTCAGTTGCCATCAAGTGGGCAGAGAAGAGAGAGATCCTGTCCAAATAGAGATCAAGAGATGTGACTCCTTGGTTCAGTACTTCCTGTGTGTCCCATTTTATTTGGAATAAAAGTAAAAACACTTACAATGGACTTCAAAACCCTGGAAGAAGTGACTTCTCACTGCCTGTCTGTCCTCATCTATTGCTATTCTCCTTCTTGCTCACTTTGTCCTCCACACGCTCTCCTGGCCTTTCCTGCAGAACATTTGGCACGTTTGCATACAGGCTTTATGTTGGCTGTTCACGATTTCCCCCCGCATCCACATAGCTCACTTCACATCTTCTTCACATCTTTGAGTCTTTGCTCAGATTTATCTTTGTTTCCTTCTCCATCAGGTCTATCTTGGCTGCCCTATTTAATATTGTAATGACCCTACCTCCCACCCATTCCTAGCATTTCTGAAATAATATTCTAACATTTATCACCATCTAAAATGCACATATATTTATCAATGTCAGGTTCCTGACTTCAACATTGTATTTTAGCTACACTAGATGTAACCATTGAGATAAATTGGGTGAATGATATCTGGGACCACTCTGAACTATATATGAAACCCTATAAATCTACAACTATTTATATAAAATTTTAAAAAGGAATGATGACTCAATGATGAGATATACCTACCAGATAGGTGTGTGTGTGTGTGTGTGTGTGTGTGTGTGTGTGTGTATGTATGTGTGTAAGATACACGGAGGGAGGGGTCTTAAGAGAGAAAGAGGGGGGGAGAGAGAAAGTATATTAAATAGAAAAATGATAAATGGAAGGTGGGCAGGTTTAAAAGTCAAATTTTTACCTACTTCTCAGCTTGGTTTATGGTAGTCTTTACATTTTCCATATAGAATATTATTTTCCCTCAATTAATTTTTGTTATATTTATATCAATGTTTTCTAAGACTTCATACATGCTAGCTTATTAATCTATTATTGTGGTGTAGTAAATCAACACAATTCTTTGGATCCTGTTCTGTTTAAGGACTTCCCCTTCATCCATCCTTTCCCCTAAGGTCATAATGCAAAGTTTTGTGACTTTGTCTCCCACTTAAATATATTTGATGTTTACCTGCATCCTTCATAATTTTATTTATTAAAAGACAGACTTTAAAAAACGAGCACGTGTTTACTAAACATAAAAGTAAAATAAATTTGGAGATTAAACAAAAAAATTTAGAAAAGGAACAAAAAAATGTTGTGTCATATATTTTAAAACTGTACTTGTAGCAATTTAAAATCACCATAAGAGACTAAACTATAAATATAAAACACAATAACCTTACCAAACAGAGAGGTTAATTATAGTTAAATCAGACAGAAGGTGGGATCCCTTGCTGACAAGAAGGAAAAATAAGAGCAATAATTAAGATAGTGGGAAGAGTTGAAATGAAAAACAAATCCATTTATAAATAAGCATCCTCTCCTTCACAAGAAGTTAATAAAAAGTTTCATTTTTATTCCCTTAGGGGAAGTCAGGGAATATGAAAAACGTAATGTGTGAGTTTAATTATCGTCAATAAATACCCACCGGTTAGGATAGACGTCAAATGCTTCCTAGAGTTCTGCACCTTTGAGCAAAGTGGCAGATTGATATATCTGAGGGGGAGCAAGTAGGCGTGAAGATAAAAAAATAGCAAGTGCCTTGGATTTGCATTGCAGTACTTTTAATAAGTAGATAAACCCAGATGTAGATGGGGGTTGAATATCATAAGCAGATTGAGTGGTTTATCTCGCCATGAGTATACACAAGGGATACCTAGCACATGTTCCCGAGTTCAAACGATGACTTATGAAAGGAGGTCCAAGTTTTTGTGGACAAATCCAGGAGTGCTTACAGCTAGATCTAGGAATTTAACCTAACCAGCACAGAAGCAATATTTGTTGTATTACCCCTTCCCTTAGGAGAATGTAATGATCTGTGTCAAGATGATCAGACACAGGAAATAGTGCCCTGACATTTGCTAAAGAGAGAAAGAAGTAGGGCCTATTTTCCTGCTCATACTACTCCCTTCTTCTCCACTTCGATATCAGACTGCTTAAAAAAAAAATCCATCTAAAACAAGTTTAAAAAAATAAATAGTCAAAACACACCTGACGATGTGTACCCACCTTGGTTGTGATGGAGACAAGAACACTGTAGGTAGAAGGTATAAGAAGAGTCTCAGTTATTTAAAAAAATAATCTGTGGTGGGGAGAGCTGCCACCTCCCCACCAACTGCCTCCGTGACTCACAGCCCGTTCTCTCTCAGCCCCGTTCTCTCTCAGCCTCGGGGAGCAGAGATGGGGGTGGCTGGGTGATAGACCTTCTGTAGTATTCCGCTGTTAGCTGAGAAGTGTGGCTAGAAATATGGCTGGTGCAGAATGTTTCCCAAAGCACAAAAATACTTGGTGACAGCATCCTGGATTAGGCCCAATAGATGAAGTAGTAGAACTATATAGAGCATCATCATTATCATTCATAAGCCCTGGCACCGCCCCACCTTCGCACTGGAAAGGAGGTATCAAGAACTGGCTTTCTCCATTCAAGATCAAATCAATTGTCAGCATTTGCCTTACAGCAGTTCAAATATGTATGTCTATATCTGTTAATACTATTTGCCCCGCCCCCAAACTGTCACGGGACTAAAATTGGTTACGAATGTAAAAAGGGAAACAATATACAAGTGCCAAATATTATTTTAAAATGTGTATTAGTCATACTTCCACCAACGTGTTCTAAAGGTAATTATCACCATCGGTGATGGCATTTTCAAGTACAAAAAATAGCTAACATTTTGAGGTGCAAAAATTAACATAAATTTTTCATTCTTCACTTAACAAAGAAAGATTAACTTTATTAGAATAAAATGTAAGAGTACTGTATGTTGATAATTTAAGAATAAGGATTTTAAAGCCACTTTTACTAAGAAAACCCACCTCTCTACCCCACTTCCAAAAAAATAACAAGCCTAGTGTTTATTTTTATATGTAACAGCATACATTACATATTGGATATGTTCAATATATTTTTTTGGTGTAAATTATGTTCCTATTATTGAACATAATTATGTTAAAAGAATAAAACATTTATTTTCACAAATTATAGGTTCAATTGTTTAAGTGATAAAATTTTAAAGAAACTGTTTATTTTTAAATAGTTACAGGGTGTAAGGAAACGTAGCACAAAGCTTGCAAAAATCAAAAAGTCTGAGGTTGAGATGACAAAGGACTTTAGCCTGGGTGTGGATGAGAATGGAGCTTAGTCCATTGAGTCTCTTGAGCTTAAGTCATTCTCATTCCACATTTTCTTTCCCTCAAGGTAAAACAAATAAGAGTTTTAAATCCTTTCTTCTGATAGACTCAAAATGAGAGTGGGGCAAAGTAGGCTTACAGTTGTGAATATGCTAACCAGAGTTAATTCTTGTGCTATTATTATTAATTAATATATTATTTTCTTTTTAAACAACTTTTGCCCCACCCTGTATATGTTATGTTAACTCCCACCTAAACTCAGCAACCTAAAACCTTCAATGTTACTGATTTTCTCCCTTATAACACTACTGAGATTGGGTGACAAACTTTGTAGTGATGTTTTTATGCCTTTGAAGCTTTATGTTATAGCGCTTTGATGTTTTAGATTCCTTGGGTTACTTTTCTAAAAAAAAAAAAAAAAGGTCTAGCTACCTTTTTTTTATTTACTATTAATGGTGTGTATGTGTGCACACATGTGTGTGCACATGCATGTTTGATGTAGCTCTCATCTGTCTTACTTTCTTCAGTTAATATTTGCAGCTACAGTGCTGTGATACAACCAGCATCATTGCACAAACTTTCTTTATAGAAGCAGGGTGCAAAGAGCAGTTTTGTGAGTACCAGGTTATTGTGGTTTCTATTAGAATGTGACTCATTAACTTTAGAGAAAGAGGCCTTTCTGTATCCCAATTCGATGGATTTTTTAGGCCACAAATAATAAAGCACATACACTTCTTGTTAAAATAAGAAATATTTTTAAGAAGAAAAAGGTTTGCTGGTTTGTTTGAATACAGAACAGGAAAAAATTTGACAAAATAATTGAGTCAGTTTAAAAAAATATTAAAATATATATAAAACTGTGAAAATAGTACACCTTTAATAACTAATTATTGTAAAATTGGGAAATAATAGATATCATTTAGCTACTCTTTACCCAATAGGCATGATATTCTGTGATTTATCATTACTGCTAGATGCTCTTATGTTCATGCTATACATCACTCAATACAATAAGGACACTGTGGGTCAGAAAAATGAAGATATTTGCCCCAAATCACACACATAGCAAGTAAGGGCTGGAATTCGACCTTTGACCTGTCTGAACCGCAACTCTAGGTCTTTAGACTTAATTTTTTTTTCTGGCATAGAAAAGCATTTCCTCTTCTTTTTAAAGACAAGACTGACATAAAGTTCATAATCTTCTTGGTCTCTCTTGAATCCAAGTTTTAGCTACAAGTAATAGCCTGTTATTATGATTTTTTTTTCTTTTTTTTTTTTTTAGAGAGAGAGGGACATCTATGTGAGAGCAAAATATTTATTGGCTGTCTCCTACACACTCCCTACCAGGGATTGAGCCCGCAATGCCTGCATGTGCCCTGACCAGGAATTGAACCTGCAACCTTTTGGTGCACAGGATGATGGCCAACCAACCAAGCCACACGAGAGAGAGCCAAACCTGTAATTCTTGGGGGAAAAAGTGGTTGTTAAGGGAAAGATCACTTAGGAAATTTTTATCATTTCTAAAAGATTAGCTTATAAAAGAAAACTTGATCAACTGCAGTGTCAGATAACTTAAGTGTTATTCTCATGGTAGGAGTATTTTCCCCAGAAAATGTCTGGATTTAGAAAATTTAGGAGATTATAAATGTACACTTATCAACAGGGATTGCCATTCATAATATATATGGTTAATTAGAACTTTCAACCAGTATGTAGCATCCAGTAGAATCTTTATCAATGTATGTGATGGAAGTAATGAATAGGAGCACCTCATGGGTTTGCCATGGCTCCATGTTGGGTCTGATTGAAAAATATTGCTAGAAAGTAAAAAGTGAAGCTGACCAACCAACTAATACTGAGGCATCATGTTGGAAGGAATCCTAAAAATCACTTAAATTTTCACCTTTAGGTAAAAGAAACATTCATCCATAAAGCCTTTTAGAAAATTAAGAGTCTAGAAGGACTATGATTTTCCCATTTGTCTTTCTCTTTTTTTTTAAAGTTTTAATTTCAACCAGGTTGGCATTGCTTTATAACAGTGGTCAACAAACTCATTAGTCAACAGAGCCAAATATCAATAGTACAATGATTGAAATTTCTTTTGAGAGCCAAATTTTTTAAACTTAAACTTCTAATGCGACGTCTTCAAAATAGATTCACCCAGGCAGTGGTATTTTGTGGAAGAGCCACACTCAAGGGGCCAAAGAGCTGCATGTGGCTTGTGAGCTGCAGTTTGCCGACCACAACTTTATACCTTCTTATATTTTCAACACCCTGGTAAGTTTTGTTTCCAAGACACCAACCCAGACTTTTAACTTTGATAAACTCCTCCAATGTCATAACATAGGTCACACATTTTAGCCAATCAGATCAGCTTTCTTCTAAACTAAATAATGGGCATGACTCTGCACAGTTGGTACAATGTATTTCCTTTAAAACCCAAATTAGTACAAAGCATCTTTTAATCCCAAGTATCATAGTAGGGATTGAATCTCTACTGAATGTCTCAAGACCACTTTCTCATGGCATAATTTTCATGGATCACATTGGGTTA